CCCTGCATCCGGCCTCTGGGTGTGAGACGCGGTGCGATCCGGCCTGGCGTAGAACACGACCCGGCGCGGACAAGGCACACGAGGCGCCTCGCGAAGTGCCATCGCATGTGCATTCGGTGGCACCTGTCCAAATCGGATGGCCAGCCCAAACACCTGTGTAGGCCGATTACATTGGTGCGCGCCCCGGCCCGCCGGGGGAACAGGGGAGGAGTATCGGAGTGGAGGCAGAGAGAGAGAGAGAGAGAGAGAGAGAGAGATGTGTTTTTATATTGTACAACGGGGGGGACGGGGGCGTGTTCCTCCCCCCTCTCACCCTCGGCCTTCATCTTCGATCCCTGCCTGTGTGAGGTGCGCTCTGGCCCAAAAGAATGCAGGGACGGGCGCGGCGGCAAAATCAGCCCCGGACAGGAAGAGAGACGGAGGGAGAGAGAGAGAGAGAGAGAGCATTGGAAAGAGGGACAAACAGAGGACACGGAATGCACGCCGGGAGAGGGCGGGGGAAGAGCAGCGGCGAGGCCGGTGCCCCGTCCGCTGGAAGGCCCGCTCCTGGCGGCGGTTCTCCCTTACAGATCGGTCACACGCGCCAGCTTCTGGATGCGGTTCAGCAGCAGGTCCCCCTCCTGGACAATCGACCGGTAGTGGCTGTTGCGGTTGTCCGGGCGCCGGGTGGCGATGGTGGCCGACACGGCGTCGATGGCACAGTGGATGCGCCCGGCCGAGATGAAGCGCGACAGCTCCTCATCAATGAAGGTCGGCGACACGCCAAAGGTGTCGGCCATGCTCTGGAGCTTGACCGACTTGTACGGCTCCAGGTACTGGGCGTAAGCACTGGCCAGAGTGGCGAGGGGGAAGGCAGAGAGAAAGAGGGAGAGCGAGAGGGAGGGAGGGAGAAGGTGAATGGATGGGGGCCAAATGGGTCGGTGACCGGCGCCGCAAGGGTGGCCGCGTGGGGGCATGGCCGTCGCGTACCGGATGCGCATCTCGCGGACGTAATACTTGTAGTGGGGGAAGAGGAAAAGATCCTTCTTCAGGAGAGCCTCCACCTCGGCCAGGTGGGTGAAGAAAGCCCGGTACTCGCAGTTGTAGAAAGACTCGGCCAGGTTCAGGAAGGGGGCCACCTTGATGGCGACCTCAAGGACCTCGGGCGAGTCGAGAATCTGCGTGTGTTGACGGGGGTCCACAGAAGCAGGGCGGGGTTAGACGTCAGGGGCGGAGAAGCAAGGCAGCGGGCGCAAGACAGAGAGGCGAGGGCGCACCTTGGACTTGAGCATCTCGCGGTCCAGGGTGAACAGGCACATCAGGATGGAGTACGAGATAAAGGTGTCATATTGCAGGAGCTGTGGGATGGTGGGGATGGGGAGGATGTGAGAAAGCGGCGCGAGGGCGGGGGGGGGGGGGTGCGAGGAAATGCCAAAGCAAGGTACCTCAGTGCTGGTGAAGGTGGGCAGGGCCGAGAGGAAGAGCTCCGACGCGCGAGTAAAGTCCCGGATGGACATGAGATAGGTGCCCTCGTAGACCTTCAGGCGGTTGCGACGGTCCCAGTCGCCACCGGCATCAATCAGCCTGGTTGAGAAAGGGGGGGGGGGCACGAAGGAAGACGAGAGGGCAGGAGAAGCCAATGGGGGGAGGGGGAGGTGAGCGGTGCACACAGGCAGGGCGCGCAGACGGGGCAAAATGGGGAGGGGGTGCGATGGGGCGGCCCCTGTGTGCCGTGGGCAGGGGGGGACGGGGGGGGGGGGCAAACGCACTTCTTGGCGCGGTCAATGTACTTGCCAATCAGGGCATTGTCAGCCAGGGAAAAGGCAAACCGAGCCAGCAGGAGGACGTTGTCCAGGCGGGGGCCGGCACCGACCGTGCTCTCGAGGACGGTCTCCAGGGCGGCGGCCGCGTCCTGATTGCATGTGCACCGCCGCACCCCATCGGCGAAGGGAGCAGCAGCCGGGGGAAGGGCCCAGGGGGGGGGTCAGCATTCGGGGCACAATCAACGGGCGAGGCCACGGACGACAGGAGGCCGCGCGCGCACGCACCGGGGCACCGATGAAGGCCTTGTACTCGGCGATCTTCTGGTTGGCCGCCTGGACCTCGGACGGTCCAGCGGACTCCTTGGCGGTCTCAAGCTCGGCATCGAAGCGCGCAAGGGCAGCCGTGTTGCCTGGAGGGGAAGGGGGGGGGGGGGCATTTAGCAATGGGGCGGCGGCGGCGGCGGTGGCGGCCACATGGTGACAGCATACGCACTCTCCTTCAGCTGAGCAAGCAGGGTCGCGTCCAGAGGCTTGGGCCAAAGGCCGGAGGCGCAGATCGCCTCATAGAAGGGGGCCATATCTGAGGCGATCAGTCGGGACCGCTGGTGAGTCAGAGCAAGCGGCAAGTGGCACCATGGGCCGGGTGGGGGGGGAGGAGCATGGACAGGCAACGGGCGCGCCAAGGCACGACATGGCAGGGCCACCGTACCGTGCTTCTTGATGAGCTCGAAGAGCTCGGTGACAGCCTGCTCCTGGGCAGCAGCCAGGTCCGGGCAGTCCTTGGTCGCCTGGAGGGTGAACTTCAGCTGGGCCAGCTTGACGAAGGGGTATGTGAGGGCGCCCTCCACGACGTTGCCGACGGCGGTCTTGAAGCTCTGTGCGAGGGTGGGTGAGTAAGCAACTCACTGGCCGGGGGGGGGGGGGGGGACACTGGGGCAGGGGAGGAGGCGAGGAGAGAAAAAAAATGCCAGCAATGTGAGACGCACGAGCGACATGGTGGACGGGGGGAGAACTGTCTCGAGTGGGAGAGAAGGGTTGGGGAGGAGCGGTAGGGGGGAGGGAGGCTGGAGGAGGGGGGCACGGCGGGAGGGTAGGGCAGGGCGAGGGCGAGAAGGGGGCGTGTGCAGGCGGCGCCGGGAGGGGCGCGGGGGGTGCGGATCTGGCCGAAAACGGTTCCACGCACGCGCCAGCTCCCCGACCCTTCCACTGGGGCGAAGATCGAGAACGGCTGCCCAGGGCGGGCGGGAACGAGGGCCGCCGAGCGACAGAGGCGGAACTAATGGCGATGATGCCCCGGCCCGGGGGGCGGGCGGCGGCCCGTCCCTGCGACACCTCCGACAAAGGCGCGGACATGTTGCGCATGCCGGTGTGCTGCCCCTTTTCTGCCTGTCCTGTGCGCTAGACCGACTGCGGGGAAATGGGCGGGGGCGGGGGCGGGGGGGCGGCTCAGCCACGGAGCATGGGCACGAGCGAGTGAGATATGGCTGACACGTCGGCCGGGCGTGAAGGTGCGCGTGAGGTGCCACCAGTCCTCGCGGAGATGGCCGCACCGCCGGGATCAAGCCCCCGGGGCGCCAATCGAGGCGAGCGGCGGCAATCACCGTCCGCTCCGCCTGAGAAGCATCTAGAGACGAGGGAGGGGCGGTGCGGGACAAGTTTTCCGGTCCCAGCCGGCGGGAGATGTCCTTTTGGCAGGGAAAATCATTTGGGATGGCCATCCGGAATATGCATCCAGTGGTCGTGTGATTCCCGCCGCGAAGACCCTTAACTGTGGCGCCCATTCCGACAGGCGGGGACTTTGCACCGAGGACTCGACAACCGGCGGCTGTTCGCCCCAGCCCGGTCTCCTTTGCCAGGGGGCGAGCGCGTGTGCCGGTGCTCTCTCCTCGGGGCCTGCGGAGGCGGGGGGGGGGGGGGGGGGGGGGGGGGGGTGTTTGCGGGGCCAGCCCTGGGTGGGTGTAGAGGGGGCGGGGAGGTGCGTCGGTACCTCCCGACCGTGTGCCAGTGGCAGCACGGCGTCAGGGCCGTTCGAGCCCCTGCCCCTCCCAAGCATGTGTGTCTGTGCATCCCCGTGTGCAAGCGTATCTCTCTCTCTCTCTGGTTTGTCCGCCCCATAACCGCGTGTGGGGGACCATGCCCGCGCCTGTGTGCGCGTGCGCGTGTGTTCGTGTTTGCGTGCACGGGTGCGAAGACGGGCCGCATATCCCCTGGCGGAGGAGCGATCGGCCAGGCGAGGCCCCGGGGCCGGGGCCAGGTGAGCAGGCGCGTGTTGCGCCCGAAGCCCCGCGCACCCCTGTCGGGCCTCGCGTGGCCCATCTTGTGTCGTGTGCCCGGCTGGGGGTTGGCGCAGGGGGCTAGACGTTACCGTGTTCGCGCGCGGGTGTGCACTGGCTTCCGGCGGCAAGGGCGGCCCCGCGCGCCCGGGGCCTGACGCCCGCCGTGGGCGCCCGGCCTTGGCGCGGGGTGTCCTGCGGTCGGGCGCTCGGGAGAGGGTGGGGCCTGAGGAAGCAGGCAGCTTCCCCGGAAGGGTCAGGCCATTTCCCGGCCCGGGCGCCCAATCCCCCAAGGGAGGCCATCGGGGGCGGCTCCCGCCCCCCCCAGGGCGGGCGGGGTGCCCGTCTCCATTCTGCGCCGTTGTCAGCCGGGGAGGGGGGGGGGGGTGGGCGCGGAGAGAAAGCTCGCCCCTCCGGCGGCGGCCCTGCTCATGAGCTCGCCATGTGGCGGAGCGCTTACTTCTGGAGACCGAGAAAAAGGGCAGGAGGAATATAAACAACAATAAAAAAGCGTCTGCCGGAGTTGCAAGAAATAAACGTGGCCTTGCGCGCGCGTGCGCCTCCCCTCCCCCCGCGGCTCTCTGCCGGGCGCCGACCTGCGCCGGTCCGTGAGGGAGTTGGCTCGGCCGGAAGCCCTTGCGGCCGACGGGCGGACAGAGCGGGCAGGGGGGGGGTGTGGGCGGACACACGTTTTCGATCGGATAGCTCGTCATGCCCCGCGAGTGCCCCCGGGGGCGCTCGCCGACGTGCTTCGGCCGTCCGCTAGTCCGGCTCCCCTGCGGCCTCTCGTCGCCTGGAAGGCGCGCCCCCAGTGGCGGTGATGGTGGTCTGCCGGTTGGTTGGCAGGCTGCGCGGCAGGCCGCGGTGTACGTGAGAGTGATAGAGGGTGTGTGTGTGTGTGTGTTTGGGCTGGCATGCGTGCTGGCAGGTGCGTACACGCGCGCGCGCGCCCCTGTCGGACCGCACTGGCCGAGCGAGCTGGCCCGCCGGCGAGCGAGCCTCAGCCGCGGGGGCAAGAGCGGCGGCGGCCGAGGGCACAGGCGGCGGTGCTCTTGCGTGCGTTGCTCCGCCGCCTCCGGAGGCCGGGCGCCCCGCGGGTGGCCCGGTCCCGAGAATAGTGTTTCCGTGTTGTTGTCCCGCCCCCCCCCCCCCCCCCCCCCCCCCCCCCCCCC